GGATTAATTTCCCAAGGTCTCACAGCTAATAAGATGCTGAGGCAAGATTTGAATCAGTCTAGCACCAGGGGTTCTCAAACTTTCATTTGCATTGAAATCACCTAGAGGGCTTTTAAAACACAGATTGTTAGGCTGGGCGTGTGGCTAAGCCTGTAATCTCTAGCACCCTGGAAGGCCGAGGCAGGAGGATTGCTCAAGGTCAGGAGTTCAAAACCAGCCTGAGCAAGAGCGAGACCCCCGTCTCTATTAAAACTAGAAATAAATTAATTGGCAAACTAATATATATATAGAAGAAATGAGCCAGGCATGGTGGCACATGCCTGTAGTCCCAGCTTCTTATCTCTCTTTATATCATATGATATTCATGTTATATTCAGAGATTTCCTGATTGTCTCAAAAATGTCTTTTTAGAATTGGCAGGTTTGAATAATCAATTCAAGTTTGCATGGACTGGATTAGATTAAGAGTATTGACAGATTACATTACCTAGGTTTAACTCAACTAACCTTCACGAAATGGCTTAAAAGACTCTTGCAAAAAAGCACAGATTGGAGGCAAAACAATAATGGCAGCCAAGAGAAAAAAAAAGGAAAGAGCAGAGTGATACTTCTCCTTGTGCAAGTTCTTTGTAAATCACATTCGAGGATAAAGAAAACAAAGCCAATCTAATCAGATCTGACAAGTCACCCAAGACAACATGAAATTATCAAGAACACTCTGAGGAGTAGATTTGTGTCTACTATTGTCAATGGTAACAGTGGACTTTGCCTGGAGATTGACACCATTATGATTAGTGACTTGAAAATATACAATTCATTTTGGTCTCTTTTGAATTTTCTAATTTGTGTGTATGTATGATAATGTACAAAATATATTAATGCAGTAGTACTTCAGTGTATAAATGGGGTGCATGCTCAAAAAATGGTGCGTGCACAATCAGAAGTTTGAAGCCAGAGGTCAATACTACACTACAACCTCCACACTGGTCTCATTCCTCAAGTCATGCTCCTTTCCGCCATCCCCTTGACCAGCCCTGGCACGGCTTTCCCCATAACCCAAACCCAAACTTGTCACACTCCCTCTTCCCCTCAAGTCAGCAGAATGAAGGCCAAACTCCTTACTCAACCCAGCAGGTCCACCACACCCTGCCTCCCTCTTCAGCCTTCAGGAACAGAGCAACGTTCAGCCTCAGTGAACATCGTTACTCCAGTGCATGCTCCCACAGTGGCTCCCACTCTGGACGACCATCTTCCTTCCCACTGGTAACTCCTACTGAGCCCCCAAAACCTGATTTGGCAGTCACCTCCCTCCAGAACCCTTCCCCGACACCATCGTCTCCCCTGCCTGGGGCAAGGGCTCTCCAGGGACATTTCATACCTATGGTAGCAGCACAGTGCAAGGGTGAAGAACACAGACGCTGGAGCCAACTTACACTATGCACAGCAGCTCCTACAGCCACTAGTTATAAGATGAATGACTCAACTCCATTGTGAAAGGGGGCCATGATGCAGAATGGCTAAGCACGTGGAAACTATAAGTAGGATGCCTAAGTTTAAGTCTGCAGTGCTTTTGCTGGCCAAGAGACGTTGGACAAATCATTCAATGTCCCTGTGCCTAGTTTCCTCATATGAAAAACAGACATTATAATAGTACCCACCTCATAGCGCTGTTGTAAGGCATTTAGGATCGTGCCTGGTACATAGTAAGTGGATAATAAATAGCAGCTCTAATCATCACGTGTCTGGATCCAACATTGGATATAATAAATGATTGAATGAATGAATGAATTGGATTGGATTGAAAAGAATTAAAGTAAATTGAACTGAACTAAAATCTCACTTGTCTGGTGCTGAAAGCCCGTCTCTGGGCCAGCCCCTTAAGTGGTGTGGCCACTTCCCTCCCGAGTCATCTGTCCTACTTGCCACTGCCACGGCCCCAGGATGCCTTCCCTTTGCTTCCAGCTAACTAGTCAGTTAATGTCACCTAGGAACAAGCAAGCCCTCACCAGGCTCAAGCTTCAACTCTGTCTCAGGGACCTCCCTCAAGGAGGCCCATCCATTATCATAAACAATGTATCAGCCCACAGAGATGCTTGAAATTCATCTTAATTTTTTTTTAAAAAAAGCAAAGTCACACCACGGTGGACATCTGTCTTGTTTACAGTTGTCTCATCACAGTCTGGGAATATTTTTAGCTGAATATAAAATACCCACCATCCTCCCCTCCCTTGCGGCTGTGCCTTCTGGCTCTGGAGTTACAGACAGCACGCAGACCGCCCAGCCCTAAGTGAGAAGGCTGGGGTGTGGGCTTGGGGGAGGGAAGCAACAGGCTAAAGTTTCCAAAAAAAAAAAGGTGGGATAGAAATGAGCAAGAAAGACCCCCAATAAAGGAAATAAAAGACAAAAACCCAACACATGAAACTCCTTGCCACTAAAGAGGGAAAAGTAGAGGAAGCAGAGAGACAAAGAACTATGAAGACCATTTGGAATAGGGAATTCAGGGAATGCTGAAAAGGATGCCTCTAACTCTGCTTTGACAAATCAAGGAAGGCTTCATGGAAGAGGTGATGCCCAGGCTGCTCCTAAAGGAGAGCCTGCATTGTTGGCTGGGTCTTGGCACGATCTGTGGAAGAAGATCGGGGAATCCCTTTGCTTGGGGATTTTGTGGAAAGGAACATCTGTGCCCTTGGAGAGCCACAGTCCTCCCCCAGCCCTGGCCCTGCTAGTTGCCTTTGTGACCACTTTTCCAGTACTCTCACCTCGATAGGTCTCCATGAGTGTCTTCTGATTCTTCGAGGACGTGTCATAGGAGGTGTAAAAAAAGAAGACGAGAATGAAAGCTGCCTCCAGCGCTAAGGCCCACCAGGGCAGGCAGACCCGGAGAGACGGTGGGTACTTGGAGCCCATCCTGTGGCTGCCTCAGTGCAGGGGTTCTACTAACACCAGGCCTCACCCTTCTCCCGACACCTACCCAAGGGAGCGATAGGGGAAACGCCTGCCAAAGGCCTTATCTCAGACCGCAGGGCTGGCCCTGCTGGCCTATCTGTGCAGTTAGGGAACAGGGGGAGTAGGATGGGGAGGGGCAAGACATGCACATATTCCAACATTCATTCATTCATTCAACAAGCAGTTGCTGAGTTTGTGCTACAAGTTTCTATTGTGCTCAGTATTAAAAAGGGTATTCTATTCCCTCGACACCCACACACAATCCTTCTTTACTCATTCCTTCAGCTCATCTTCCCCATATCCTTGTAAGAAAAGCAGGGAATGGATCAACACTCTATGAATGGGGAAACTGGGGCTCAGAGAAGGCTTTCTTTGTAAAACTTTACCATGTGACAGAGAGGGCACCCAGTGAGCTCTTAACAATGTACTGAATGAGAATGAAGGAAGGAAGGAAAGGAAAACAAAGAAGGATATCCTGGGGAGGATACAGACAGGACCCACACAGAACGGACTCCTCAGAGTTATACAGTCGAAATTACTTATATCTGAATTTGTACTTAAACCTACTTATTTCTAAGCATTTTAAGGGTAGGTGGGGGAAGATGGGGGAAGAGAAAGAAGGCTTGGATTTGGCTCTAGTAAGAACCTGGAGGGGGCCCCGATCCAGCCCCAGGCTGCAGTTGCTCCTGCCTCTGGTCACCTCCTCACACAGCAGCCCAGGACTCTGCCCGGAGCATGAGCACTGCAGTGCATCTGAGGAAGGCCACCAGCCTCAGCATCCCCATCCCACAGTGGGGGACTGTCCCCTGGCATGGGATTTAGGGTCTGGGATCTACTTCTGACCCTGCAGCCAACTTTCCCTGTGGCCCCAAGCCATGTGCCTAGAAGAAGGTCTGGGACATAAGTGTCAAGGAAGGGAGGGAGGAAGGAAGGAAGGGACAAAAGCAGAAGGAAAGAATTAAGGAAGGAATTGAAGTTCCCTTATCTTCTATACTGGCCCCAACCATTGGCCACTGAGTGTAAACTGAATGTGTGAGGCCCCAAAGAATAGAGCCAGGCTAGGAATTGCAGGGAGACAGAAAGTGGATATTTTATTGACCATTACAGCTGTCCAGTGAAATACTGTGAGGTGGTGAGCACCCTGTCACTAGAGTAATGTGAGCGGAAGCTAATGGTTACTTGTTAGAGATGTCTTAGAAACAATTCACATGTGGATCACAGGAGATTTAAATCACCCAGTAGAATCTTGTCATTTTGATTTTAGATGAAGAAAACAAGACCCAGAGAGGTCATGGCTAACGTCATACCCAATGTCAGACAGTCAGTTGGCACCAGTCACTCCTTGCTCAGTGCAGTTTTATTTACAGAAGGAAAAAAATTGAGAGTAACCTAAATGTCCAATAGCAGGGGATTTGTCAAGTAAACCACAGGACATGCAACTTGCCACTGAAAGGATGGTTCTGGACATATGCAGAAAAACCCAGAGGAAAATGCTTTTACAGTTTACCAAAAGTTGCACAGAGTATATGCCATTTAGTGAAAAGGCAAGTTACATAACAGTGTGTATAATATGTTCCCACTCTTATAAAATAATAACAATAAGTTAGCACAGACATAGAACAAAGTTGGTTGCAAACCACTAACACATCTGTTGCTTTTACTTTATACATTTTCAGAGCTAGCATATATCAAGCACTTATTGCTAGGCACTAAGTAAGCACTTTACATGTATGAACTTAGTTAATGACACCGTGTGGGGGTAGTATTAGCCTTATATTATCAATTAGTAAACCAAGGCACAGAAAGTTTAAGTGACTTGCCCAAGTCACAGAGCTAGTAAGTAATGGAGCTGGGATTTAAACCCAGACAGTCTGACTTCAGCAGGGTGTTTTACCACTTAACTCTAGCCCAGATTACTTCTAAGTGTCCTTCCAATTCTAAAAGTCTAGGGAAGTAGGATTCTAAACCCTCTGCCAATAGCAAATCAGGGAGAGGGTCCCCTGACCTCCAGATGCCAGATGTCTCCATTCCCCTCATGGTCACCTCTGGTTCTGATTTCAGGGCTCTTTTCGGCAGTCAGTAGTTCTTATAAACTGGTTTCCAAAAAGAGTAACTCCCTGTACAGGGGGATGGATGGATGTGACCCCACGGGCCAGAGCCCAGCACTGGCTCTGTAAAGCAGGTAGCCAACTGCACCCACCTGCCCAAGGGCACGGGTGATGTCAGCAAGATGAACCCTAAAGACTTCCAGGCAATGCCAACCCCTGTGCCTGGAGGTTGTGTGTACCAGCTGGCAAACTCAGTGTGGGTGGCAGCTGGTTCCACAGCACCCCAAGCCCCTGCATGTCCTGATTCTGCCCCAGTGAGGAAGCAGCAGGGACTGACTGCTTGACAAGACGGCCAAGCTCCTCGCTAAACAGAAAGGCTTTGGAGGTGTCCCCGCAGTTGGCCTCTCCCAGCAGATCTGTCAAAAGCGGAGTTTTTGCTCTTCCCCTCTGACTCTTGCAAAAGGCCCCTGTTTTCCAACTACAGTTATAGATATTCTGTCTCCACAAAAAGCACAGGGGATCTTGGGTAGATATGCCCAAAACAGAATACAGCAAAGTGTTAATTATTGAATGTAGCTGGCAGGTGTACGGCTTTTCACTGTACAATTCTTCCAACTTGTTTTTTGTAGATGTTTGAAAATTTTCATAATAAAATGTTGGGAAAGAAGCACTCTCTGCACCTGCTATTCTCTCTGCCTGAAACACTCCTCCTACCAGAGTTAGGATTGTCGATTTATGATTTTTCCACTTTACAATGGTGCCAAAGTGACAGAGTTTCAGTAGAAACCATACTTCAAGTACTTACACAACCATTCTGTTTTCCACTATATAGTACAGTATTCAATAAATTGCATGATATATTCAACACTTTATTATAAAACAGGCTTTGTTTTACATGATTTTGCCCAATTATAGGCTAATATAAGTGTTCTGAGCACATTTAAGGCAGGCTAGGCTAACCCACAATGCTTGGTAGGGTAGGGGTATTAAGTGCATTTTCGACTTAACGATATTTTCAACTTATGATGTGTTTATCGGGACGCAGCCCCATCCCAAGCTGAGGAGCATCTGTACCTGCTGCTTCTGCCTCACCTTCCCAGATCTTTACTCCATTGTCCCCTTTTCAGGGAAGTTTTCCCTGACTGCCCTAGTTAAAAAAGGCTGGATCAACCCCCATTTCTCTCCCTTTAACATGTGTTTCTTGTGCCCCCAGCTTTCAGTTTTCTTCATAGCACTAACTACTTACTACAGAATAGATACTGGCACAGTATTTTTTTACTTGTGTATTTGTTTATTGTTTGTCTTCCCTTATAAGAATCTCAGCAAGATGAGAATAGGGACTTTTGACTGCTTCGGTCACTGTTGTATCCTCAGCACTAGGCGCTCGGTCCATAGTAGGTGCTCAATAAATATTTGTTGAACTAGCAGCTATGATTTCTGGCATGCCGAACACTGGACCAACCCTTTTGCATACATTATTGCATTTCATCTTCCCCTCAACCCTGTGAATACAGGCATTATTACACCTGCTTTACAGATGAGCAAGCTGTTGCTCAGCGAGGTGATGTTGAGTAGCCAAAGTCACACAGCCAATAAATGGCAGAGCTGGGACCCAACCCAGATCTACCTGACATCACGGCTTGTGCTGTCAACTACTTTGCAATTCTGCCTCCCAAGTTACTAAATCACCCACAGTCTCAATTTCCTTATGAGTCAAATAAGGTGATGTGCTCTGTTTTCCTCATAGGGTTATTACAAATGTGAAAATATGTCAACATGCCTGGCAACCTGAGTTAGAGAAATGAAGGTGGGCAGGTGGTGCTATGACCACAGCATTCTGGTCCAAGCAGTCAGGCTTCCTCCAGGTGTGGGAAGTCAAGGCGGAGAGCCCACAGCTTTCAGGAGTAATCATGCCTTTTTGTAAAAACAGGACTCTATGAGAATACTTGTCACATCCTCTTCACCTGAGTCAAGCTCAGACACGGGCAGTGACCAACCAATGAGGTAGGAAGTTGGAAGCACGTCCACACCAAAGATGTGATCTTGCTCTGGGCATGCCTAGCTAAAGTGTGGCTAAGTCAATCATTCATTCATTTAACACACATAAGCTTTGGGGTCAGGCAACCTGGGTTCGATCCTGGCTCTGCAATTTATTAGCTATGTGTCCTTCGGTAAGACAGTCTCTCTGCGCCTGTTTCCTTATCTGTAAAGTGAAGAAAATCAGAATAGAATGTCCATCTCATAGGGCTGTTGTGAAGATTAAATGAGGTTGGGCATAAAGTGTCAGATGTGTAGAAAACATTCCATCAATGTTTGCATTTATTATTATCACAAAAGCTTGGCATGTTTACTATAGAAACTTTGAAAATACACAGATGCAGAAGGCTAACATAAAGCACCCATGATTTCAACATCTCCAAAAACCACCACTACGTTTTGTGCGTATATACTTTCAAATGTTTTTCTATTCACATGGATTTACACCTTGTTTTTTTTTTTTCCCCTACAAAAATGGGATTATACAGCTCATACCGTTTGGTAACTTGCTTTTTTCATGAATATCATGAGCAGTTTCCAAGCCAGAAAAATCTTTCTATAACACTGTAGCATGTTGGCTAGGAGCCCAGACTCTGGCAGCAGACTGCTTGGGTTTGAATCCCAGTTCTGTCACTTACTATGTGACCTTAGGCAGGTGACTTGGCACCCCACTGTGCCATAATTTCCTCATGTGTAATATGATTCCAGTAATAATCTATACTTCATAGGATTGAGGATTAAAACAGAATATATAGGGTACTTGGAGCAGTGACTGCAATAGAAAGTGCTGTGTGTAATCATTCTCCATGATACACTGACTTCTATGGTAAGGGTGGGTGATAATTTATTTGTTTGACTAGCCCTCTTCCAAAAGTC